AGCCGTGAGGTTTGAACTGTTGAGAATCTAGTTTGGATCTTGCCCTACTCCTTCCTGAGACTGGGTTCCAGACAAGCACAGCTGTTCTGGGGAGGAACCCAGGGAAGTGTCAAGTGTCCTTCCTCCAGGCTTCCTCTTCAACCCTGAGCCAGAGACACCCCACCCAAACTGTGGAGCCCTGCCCAGCTGCTCCTTAGCTTCCCACCACCAGTCTGACCCCTTTCGTTGGTCATGGTTCTGGCAAAGTCTCCATAGTCCTCTCAAAGCTCAGCTAAGTAATAAAAAGCTAAACTCTGGTTCTAAATATTTAAGAAGTGGTTTCTCTCCCCCTTCTTCCAATCAGAAGAACTTGTCTTCTGACAGTGGGTCTCATCCTTGAGAAAGCATCAGAATGCCCAGAGGATTCTTTGGGCCCATCCCACTCCCATTCTGGTCCCACTGGCCTTGAATCTGTAGTTTAATAAGCTCCCAAGGCAATTCTAACAATGGTGGCCCCTGGACTTCACCTTAAGAAATCGTGTTTGAAAGGAAAAGGTATAACAGATGGAATGCCTGGCAAGGGTAGTGGCTGGTCTCATTCACCCAGCTGTATCCCCCAGTTAATAACTAGCACAATGCCCCAGGAACAGCAGGAGCTCAGAGGTCACATGGATAGATGGATGGATGGATGGATGGATGTGGGTGGGAAGAGGAAAAAAGGGCTGCTCAAGAGAAACGGACATGGGCCAGGAGGTCTCCCAATTAACAAGGCAAAGCCAACTAGAAAAAAAGCATTGCACTTCTTATTACAAATGTCTCTCTGAAAAACATGTCAACCAGGTCTGAGTAATTGTTAGTGGAGAATTCTATAAAGGACATGACAGCATCTGTAACACGGATGACATGTCCACGGGATAGGCTGACCAGATGTGGGTGTGGGAGCCATGAGCTGCAAGTGAATGAAAATGCTTCCAATTGAGAATCAAATAAACATGCCTGGGCCCACAGCCAAGGAGAGTTCTTGGATTGGACTTTTATCAGGAACCTAAATTTTAACCAGCTGGAACTTCTTTTTTTCCAAGTACCACCCTATTCTTTCCTACCTTTTGAGATGAAGTATTTGCCTTAAATGGCAAACTTGCACTTCATTGTAAAGATGATGCCAGCATCTGACTTCCTGAATTCCTGCAGGAGCCAACTTTTTGGGAGTAGGAATTGTGTTTCAGGATATCAGACCAGAGAAGGTGTACCCCAATTAGGTAGGGAGGTTAGATGTGTCCCCTCCTCCCTCACTGCAGGAAAAGCCATTAAATAAAAACCTATGGCAGTGGATTCCTAACTCCTTGTTCCATAAATAGGCTTCTCAAACTATGAGCAAGACAAGAGAGGGCAGGGGAAAAAAACCTCAGCACAACTGACTGACAGAATTAAACTGCCCGCCACAAACAAAACCATTTCACCATCAAGAAGCAAGCATTGAGAAACAGTGTTAACTAAGGAAGTGGCCCTCCAGAAGCCTTATAAATTGTTGCTTCTTTGGAAAAACAGTATTTATTACTCAAAGAGCAACTTTACCTACCAAGGGCCTAAAGAGCTTTTTTTTTCCCCCCTCCTCCTTTCTTCTTTTTTTTCCCCAAAGTAGTAGAGGAAGTGTACCCACAACTCATTTCTAAAACACTGAGCCATGTTCAAGATGGTATCAGCCTCTTAATTGCCTTGCTAATAATGGGGAGATTGTGAAACTTGACCACTTAAACCAGGCTGGGCTCCTCCAAGAGCAGCCTGGAAGGGATCTGTGAGCACAGCCGTGAGGGATAGCTGACTGCAGTCACCCTGCAAGTCCTGGGAAAATATTCGTTCCTGCTGGGGTGAGGGTTCCTATAACACATATTCCCTGGAGAAGACCATTCACCCAGTTTCTCTCTAGCACCCAGATCCTGCCTCTCCTTCAGGCCTCACTTCTGCACCCTGTTGTCCCCCTCCCAGGTATGGAGTATGACCCAGACCCACAGGAAGCCCTGTCCTGTTTTCATCACATATTATCAACCCTTATTCTTATGTGTTTGCATACTTCCAACTCTAGACTGTATGCAACCTCACAGCTTAGGCCAACAGCTATGGACTGAGCACCCACTACTACCTGGGGTACATACACACACACATACACATTCCACTGCCAAAAAGCACAGGTCAGGACAGATGCCCCCGCATAATGGCATTAGGGAAAACAGAATTTCTTAGTCAACTGTTCCTATCATGGAGCATGCAGTCTGGGAGGGGACCTAGACATGAATCAACCACCCAGGCTGCTGTACATGAGTATTACTGGCCAGCAACTTCTGGGAGACCTGACCTACAAAGGTGGGGGCAGAGAAGACTTCCTGCAAGAAGACATGTTGGAACTGAGAGAGGAGACTGAGGAGATGTTAACGGATAAAGGACTAAGGAAGACACAGTATATGCAAAGGCCTACTGTGGAAAGGATGCTGAAGCTTGGTGATCTGATCTCTCTTCCCACTTCTTAAAAATACCACTTAATAGAGGATGTTGCAGAAAGGCTGCCAGGGTCTAACTGGGTTCAGCTAAGATTTACAGGGTTCCAGACTCTGAAGCCACCAAGATGAAGTCCTATCCCTGGCTAAAGATATCAGTCCAGATACAGATGTGAACAAATACTGATGATGCAGTGTGCTGAGAACCACAGGGCAAGGAACTGCATGAGAAGGTAAAGGAGAAAGGCATTTGGAGAGGCCTTCCCAGGAGGAGCTGGAGCTGAGTCTTAGACCCAGCAGGGGCTCTCAGGAGGAAAAGGCACCCTAAGAGGGCACAAAAGTGCTTGAAAGCTTTGGCAGCATCAGGAGTTAAGGGACAGCATGGGAGGGACAGGCACTGAGGAACAAAAGATGAGTGAGGTAAATGGGGAAGCAAGATCAGGGAAAGCTGGCAGCTCTATCAAATGAACCAAAAGGCAGCTACAGGAAGGAAGAAGGCATGTGCAGGGCTGAGAAGAGCCTGGAATCTAGGAGATGGTCAGGAGGCAACCATGCTTATCCAGAAAGAGGATGAAGACCGACTTAATATATGGAAGGTTCATCCCCAACTAGCAGCTGTGGTGGGGAAAAGGAGGTCACCAGCAAGAATGCCAGAAAACTGGGACACCATTCACCACGGGGGAGGGAGGGAGGGTGTGTGTGTGGGCAGGTTTGGGGGAGAGCATTCCCATAGATGGAGAGAACAAAATTCACTCAGCTCCTTCTGGGCACTACTATACCCACAGCAACAAAACTTTCACAAACTCTGTGCACTGGCACATGAAATCACCAAGGCAAATGCAGAGAAACAGCAAATTGGACTGATCCACCCATGCCATCACATGAAAACTCAGGATAATATGTCTGTGACACTGTTGCTGCTATTCAAGAACGAACATCAATCTACATTTAAAAAAACTTAGCAGGATCAAGAAGTCAGCACGCTTTACGGACTTTTCTATCTAAAAACTGGGGAAAACCTGATAACTCGATTTTTTAAAAATTCAGCCATGTTTGACTAAAATGGGGCAAAGCAAGACAATGTGATGTTTTACTCAAATGGGAAAGTGTAATAGACCCTAACGCTGTATTAACTATGTAGGGGTAGGTGGGTGTTTACGTGCAGCTTTTGACTCTGAAAACTTTAAAAGCAACAGCCATGCCAGCTGCCTGGCTCATACACTGTTTTCTATACTGTGTCTCTGAATGCGGAACAAGGAGCCTGGAAGCACCAGCCTGTGCCGGTAAGGAGAGACACGTCCTAAGCCTCTGCTGCCCTGAGGCTATTTAGAGGATCCCAGAAGTCGTGGGTCAGTATAGAGGAAGCTAACCATCCCACACACATTCCTTGGTGCACCAGTGCTGGGGAAACTAGGAAATCTCCATTTCCTCCCATTTTCCAGATAAAGAAACTGAGGCTCCTGGTGGGGCCAGGAGCATAAGTTCATTATCTGTGAAGCTTAGTGCAAAGCCGGTGTCCTTTCCTCTCCCCAAGGCTGACAGCCCTGAGTCCGACGTCGGGCTCACTCTAGCCTCTGCGAAGTGCAAGTTAGATGAAAGGAGTCTCCGGATCCTGGGGCCGCTCAAGCCCCAGGAGGCGCCCAGGTGGGAATCCCAGGGGACCAGCGTACCTGCGCACACGGTCCCCCACCCCATCCTCTACCGCCCGATACCATCAAAAGGGCGCTTGGTTCCAGAGAGAACGCTCCATGCACACTGCCCCGAGTCGGGAAAGTCTGGGCAGCTCTCAAGTCTCTCATCTCGGGGTCCTGACCGAGGTGACAAACTCAGGCCACCCTTTAGCCGTAAAAAACTATCAGCAACTCAAATTTCGGGGAGGACAGTGTCATCTGTGAGACCATTCGCTAGAACATGGAACGGTGAAGCGAAACTTCTCAGCAAGTCAGGAGTCTGGGATGGCAGGCTGGGAGCGGGGCAAGACGCTCCATAGAAGGAACAAAGCGACCCCGAAAGGGGGGCCCATCCCTCCTTAGCGCGCCAGGTCCCCTTCACGACCCTCCGGGTTTTTGCAGAGCCGCAAACCAGAGGTTCGGAAGAGCATCCCCACTCCGCTCCAAAGGCTGCCGGTTCGGACAGCTCCAGGGATCCCAGCCCGGGGCCGGAAGAGGTCCCGGGCTGGGAACAAAGGTTGGGGCAACCTTCCCCTCCACGCCCGCTCCGCCGCCGGCCGCCCCCTCCCGCCCGCCCTCTGGGAGCAGGACTAGGGTCGGCGGCCTCGCCTCATTAGCAACACAAAGCCCGGGGTCAGGCGGCCCCTTTCACCCGACCCGGGGCCGGCGGACGCTCGCGCCAAGAGAGAGTGAAGGGGTGGTAGCGGCGGGGACCCCTGCCCAGCTGCGGATCCCGAAGACAGCAGGCAGGCCGGCGCGAGCTCCTCGCCCGGGAGCACCTGTGCAAGCTGCCCCCGGCCGGCGCCACCGCCCCCGGCGAGTTGGGAGGCTGAGAGAAGCGCGCCTGCCGTACTCTTACCCTCCAGCCGCAGGTGTCCGCGCCCCGAGCGCGTCCCGAACCGCCCGCAGCCACGGCCAACTGTGAGCCGTTGAGGCAGGCGTTGACTGTGAAGAAGACGGAACAGAGCTGCAGCCACGGGGCCATGGCCGTGCGCTCGCCCAGCCCGGCCCTGTTCTGCACCCTGGCAGCCGGCTGATGCCCAGCCTCAAGTGGGCGGTAGCGGTGGCAGCGAAATGGACCTCACTGTGCATGCGCAGCCGGCCTGCGCCCCGCCTCGTCCCCCTGGGCCCCGCCCCCAGCCAAACCCTTCTGGCCCTGACCCCGCCCCTTCAGTCCTGGCCCCGCCCCTTATGGGCCACGCCTTCTGGTCAGGCCAGGACAGCTGCCGGTCCTCCGACCCACCCAATTTGTTCTCTTCACCTGAGAGCCCTTCTTCAACCCCAAAGATTCATTCAAGTGAGGCCTTCTCGCTGCAAAATTTCAGGAAAACAAATAATTTAATAATAATAGTTGTAATTATAGTATTTTAACAAGGAGCTCTGGTGGCATAGTGTCTAAGGCATTTGACTGCTAACCAGAAGTCTGGTGGTTCAAACCCAGCAGCCACTCCTGGGCAGGAAGGTTGGGCAATCTATTTCCGTAGTGATACTCCTGGGAAACCCGAGGAGGGGTCCCTATGAGTCGCACCAGACTCCAAGGCAGTGAGTTTGGGGTTTTTTTGGTTACTATGTGCCAGGCCTCTTCTTGAATCCTCCAGAGAACTCAGCAACCAAGGAAGTGTAACTATTATTGTATCCCAGTTTTAGGCTCGGAAAAGTTATGTCAAACGATAGTTAGAAAAATCTTGGCTCCCTTCTCACTACTGGGATCTGGGACAAATGATTTGCTCCCTCAACGTTTCTGTTCCCTCCCTTATAAATTGGAATAATAAGAGTATCTTAGTCTGAGAAAGGTTCTGTTGGTTAACAAATAGCAATTGCTCAATCAATGCTACAGGGTATCGTTAAGTGACTTGCTTCAGGTCACACAGCTGGTACCTGCCAGACCCGGACTTCCAATACAGATCTGACTAAAAACAGTGCTCTTAGCCACTACACTTATCAAATAGCCTTGTGATGTAGGTAATGATCCCCATTTGGATGAGGAAGCAAAGGCTCAGAGATTATAGTAGAGTAGCCAAGGTCATGCAACTATTCATTACTATCACCTGCCTTTGCCTTTTGTCTTTGAGTTTGAACCCCATCACTTCTGCCCCCTCCCTAGACTAGGCCACTACTACTTCCTATACAACAGTGTCCTCAGTGCTTTTCTACTTCCACTTTTGTCCTGACGTACAATCTATTTCTCCACCCTGGAGCAAGTGAACTTCAAAAAAAAATGTCAGACCACTCACTTCTGATTAAAACCCTTCCCTGATGGCTTTCATTCAATGGCTATTTAGAATAAAAGCCATTGTGACCACAAGGCTCCCATGCACTCTCCCACTTCATCTCTTCTTACTCTGCCTTTACCACCAGCTCCAGCTACCTGGTCTTTTCCCTCACCACCCTGTGTTGTTCTTCTTATCTCAGTAAACCTTGAACTTGCTCCTCTGTCTGTCCCAAGGCTAACTCCTCTATGTGACCCTCTCCTTCCAGGGCCCCAAATCCCCACTGCCTCCTGGTCAAGCACTGTTGCTAGCTAGCTCTGGGTCTTGCACTTTCCTCCATGGATCTACACACCCTCCTGTACCTTACTTAAACCCTCCACAGTAGCAAAAGTGGTCCCAAAACTTATATGCTACCTCAGTGGACAAAGAGGACTCTTCTCAGTAGTACTAGCCAGAAGTCCTGGATATTGCCTCTAAACATGACCACTTCTGGAACCAGGGTGCACAGTCTGCCTCACCTGAACAACAGACGCTGGAAATGGAAGACGGATAGCTCTCCAAAGGAAAATTGGCATCATTACCAGAAAAAAGGGGTGGAGGCTGGGCTTCCCTAAACAACCAAAAAACCAAACTCACTGCCATCAAGTGGATTCTGACTCATAGTAACCCCCATTGGGTTTCCAAGGCTGTAAATCTTTACAGAAAGAGACTGTCTCATCTTTCTTCTGCAGAGTGGCTGGTGAGTTTGAACTGCCGACCTCCTGGTTAGTAGTCAAACGCCTTAACCACTACACTACCAGAACTCCTTCCCCGAACAAGAGCATCACCATAAAACTCAGGTGCTGGGCTTCTCTTGACATGCACACTACTGACTGGAAATGTTTATGGTTCATCTAACTGCCAGGATATTCAAGACTTAAGGCAGCCCCAGTGAGGGCAGGCATCACACCATATTTGGCCATCCGTAACAGCTAGGATCTACAGAAGGCTGCCTGCACCTGGAGTAGGGTCTGTTCTCTGAATAGACCTCATACAGCATGTTGCTTCTCTTGGGGAGGTTCAGTGCTCTGTTTCCTCTATACCACCTCTGGTATTCTTCTTGGTGTCTCTCTGGACCCTCATAGCAAACAATGTCAGATATTTGGATATGAGGTTTAGGGGTGCCAAGGCTTGAGATGAGGCTAGGACCACATGGTTATTGGTGAAACAGTGAGGAAACAATGAGGCTGCCCACTGCTTAATCACTATGACATCCCAGCCTAGGGATGCTCCATAATGCATTAACCAATCCCCTACTAAGACTTCCATGATCATGAACTACTTCCATGAACTTCCATGAACTTCCATGAACTTCCATGCCAGTAGTTCAAAAATATCCTCACACATTTATCTTTGCACGTGTATCCAACTATTTTCTTAGGATACATTCTTAGAATCAGAATTCCTGGATTATGCACATTTAAAATAACCAAACTCCCAATATCTCATTGCCATCTTAAATTGGTTTTTCTGGCCTCTAATGAAGTGGACCATGTTCTCATGTACTTATTGGCCATTTCCATTTCTTCATTTGTTCATGAACTGGACTCCAGGATAAGGAGCAGTGCTTAGAGTTCATGATAGAGGGAAAACTTTAAGGAGGATGTTGAAGAGAGGAACGTATTCCCATTCCCCACCCCCCACCCCTGCATCTCTCTCTACCTCCTGGCTTTACTCACAGCACAGGATGAGTGCCTGTGGAGAGAAGGCAGAACAACATGCCTGTTTCCTTTCTAGCCTTCACATCTACCCTCCATTGAATCTCCCAGGTGCCCTCCCACCCACAGCTCACTGAAGAAGCTAGGCAGCTTAGACCCTCTGAAAATGTGCTGCAGAGTTCAGAGTGGTCTCCAACTTTCCTAAAGGATTATGAAAGAAAAGAAGAGGCCTCAATGTCCACTGTAAAAAACATGGTTGGAATGACATCCATCAGGACAAGGGACTGAGAACCCTCCCCCTTACCTTCCAGGGAAGCCATAAGCATTTGTGGGAGGGGTAGGGGAAGAGCCACAGACATCAAAGGATCAAATTTGGTCAGGAAATGAAGGTAATAAATTGACATTTGGCAGCATCCTTCTATTCTGGTCTTTCCCATAGATTCTCTTCCTCCCTGTGTCCTCATTTCATGCTGACTGAAATATCTGTGAGGCTGCAGGGGGTTGGCCTAAGATAAAATGAGGAGGCCAGGCTCCCACATGACTCCATGGACCCACCAGGCCACATCCCACCCCACCAGTGAAGGTAACAAAAGGAGGAGCACTGGAAACTCTCCCAAAACCAACACATGGTCTCACTCATAGAGGCCAGGATTGTCTATGGCACAGCAGCATTTCAGCCACTTCTCACCATCCCTGTCTTTTCACTTCTCTGCCTCCATGGCCTGCCACTCTGCGTGGCACACATCAGTGGGCAAGAAATGCTTATTGAAACTACTTCCAACTCTGTTTGGAATGAAGCCGAGGGTTAAACAGATAAAATTGCCTTAAAATAAACTGTTGATGAAATGCAAATATATTTCCCCTATCTACCTAGAACCTGACCAGATAAGGAAAAGTCTTAACACAAGGATTAAGTTTTCTTATGCGTCAAATTATTCCCTGAAACATAAGAAACGGATAACGTGATCACAGAAATAATTTGTAACCTGAATCATTTTGACCTGAAAATAATTAAAGACTATTTTAATGAACTGTTAGAAGCAGTGGCCTGGAATTCTGATTTATTTTTGGTATTGTAGTAAAGCAGTATAATTTTTCTTTTTTGTATTAATCAAGATATTAAAGATAAAGTGTACCTCTCACCTCCAGGGTCCCAGCAGACTGAAGGTGCAAGGTTTGCCAGGGCTTTGGAGTGAGGAGGATGCAGAGAGCTGGCACCCTTCTGCAAACCCCCAGCCTCAGTCCTATCTGAGTCCCAGAGCTGCCCTAGCGCTTTCTCACAGGACAGCCGCCGTCGACTCTAACTTCACAGAGCCCAAGCAGAGGTTCAGGGAGGGGAATCTCCTGCTAGAGATAACAGAGCCGGAGTTCAAACCCGACCTCAGACGCCCTACCCATAATCGGAGGTCTGGTCTCCATCTGACACCCCTTAGACTCCCTGCCTCCGACGCCAGCGCCGCAGCCTTCCTGGTCCCAGCCTCGCCGCTGCCCCTGCTGCCTAAAGACCCGCAAGAGGAGGAGCGGGAGGGAGATCCCAACGCCCAACGCCACGTCCTGGAAATCTCAAGACACTCTCCCCAAAGTGCCAAGTGCGGTGCGCGCCGCGCCAATAGCCGGAGTTCCCGGATCCACCAGCAAGTCTCACTTCTTTCCCAGCAAGAAATGAAGGGCGGCCTTCCCGCCTCCACAGTAACCGCGAGGGGGCGCGTGCGGTACAGGTCCGAGGCGCCGGGACTGCCTAGAATGCGGGACACAACAGCAAATCCTTCTAGTCAAAGCCTCCAGGGCAAGTGCAAATAAATACTCCACTGTTATCCAGAGTTGGTGTTAAGTTTTTGGGGAAATAGAGTCCAGGGGGCAGTCAGAAAATTTAAGATCAAGTAGAGGTCTTACTAACCATATGACTTTAGGCAACTCGCATAAACAATCTGGATGTCAGTTTTCAGCCACAACACAGTAATAAGGTGGATATGGACCTTACTTGGATTTTGCAAGTCAGAAGTAAGTGAATGACTATGAAAATATGAGAACGTTAAGCTGTTAGAGGTGGGTGGACCAGGAGATGACATAGCCAGGCC